ACAGAAGTTAGAATGGTTGAGAAGGATGTGAGCAGGAAAGCCTCTCTTATCATAAGCCAGAGAAAGAGAGTGTTTGACTAAGGCCATTGTCAACAATGTCAAATTCTGCCAAGGATTCCTGTAATGAAGTAAGGGCAAGGCTGAATATTGTGTATTGGAAAGTATTGGGAACAGGGGTAGCAGAAGCCAGTGGAGGAATGAGTGAGAGGGGACCCTGTGGAAAAGGTGAATACAAGCAACCCTTTCAAGGCACTTGATAATGAGAGGAAACAAAGAGCTGGAAACTCCTGGACTGAAAAAAAAAAAAAGATCTTCTACCCTTGATCTCTCTCACCTCCCTCCCCAACCTAAATGGAAAGTATTGAAGAATTATATGCTGATGGGGGAGAAACCAAGAGATCTTGAAGATACAGCAGAGGAATAATTCTTAGAATGAGTTCACCAAGTACCAAAGGTACCAAGTCCTATGCACAAATGGAATGACAAGCCTTGACTCTAGGAAGGACATTTAAATTCTTTAACTAGAGGAAAGAAGGAAAGATTTGTGTAGATGCATGCTGATTTGTAGATTGTGTTACAAGAAGCTGAATATCTTTCCTATGCGTAGCTTCTATTTCTCCGTGAAGGAAGCTGCAAGACCATTTGTTAAGAGTTATGGGGGAAATGGTGGGTTTGGTGTTCAGGAGAGATTGAATTATGCTGTATTGTTATTAATATTGATATAAATATTTAACACAATATTTCACAAAGACCAGATCTTTGGAATCAGCATTAACTACTTAGTCATTTTAGATTATTTTGAGGGATGAAATGGGAGGCAAAATTAAAATAACAGAGTGTGTTAGATTCTATTTTTCTGCCCTTTTTGAAATAAATTTTTCTTTTCCTACATTATCTGAATAAGAAAATATTTTTATTTATGTTATGCAATATTTTTGTTTTCTAGACATCATCTTCAGAAAGATTTTCCACTCCACGCTTATCTGAACGTAGAAGAATAAATATTTACATATAATGTCGCTAATTTTCCAGAAGCAAATTATGGTAGATATTTCTGAACTCAAAGATGTGACAAGTTGCCTGGCTTACCTAACCTTTCACAAATACTGCAGTCTGAGAGGAGGAATTTTAAAGAGGAATTTTGGAATTATATTATGGTGCAATTTCAGAAAAAAAAGTCTTAGAAGAAACTATACTTAAATAAATGTGAAATAAACAGACACGAACTTGGAAAAATCCTTTGTAATGCTGACTCATTCACAACACCAGATACCTCCTATTTCTGTCACTTTCAATTTGACTGGTATGATATATCTAACTAGTATGATATATCATTTGTGGATGACATTTATAATTCTGCTAAGTTAATGATCTTTAGCATCTACACGTCCATGGCTTTCAACTTTTCAGCTGCTAAATAGATTTTAGTTACAAATCTATTAATCTAAACATAAAGTTGAAGAGCTAAGTGGAAAAATTAAGATAATATTGAGTCCAAAGTATAAATTTAAAATGATCAAAATAACTCAAACTTTTATAGGAGGGAGTATAGTTGTTTCATTAATCTGTTCATCAACATTTTTCCTGTTGTATTGTTTGACTTGCTTTAGCAGTAGAATATTTCATTTATTGTTTTTATTTTCTTTTTTGCTCTGGCCTGCCTGGAGTGTATAGGAACAGAGAGAAGGCCAGAGTAGCTGGAGTAGAATAAGAGATAAGTGTAGGAAATGAGGACGGAGGGGTTATAGGACCAAGCAGATAGTAAAGACTCTGACTTACACTCTGAATAGATTGAGAAGCCGCTGGAAAGATTTAGATGATCTGAAGCAGAATTAGATGATCTGAATTACTTTTAAAAAGCTTTATTTTTGATTACTGTTTTGAGAAAGGGATTACACAGCCACTGGGAGAAGCGGAGAATGTGGCAGCTATTAAATTCACCGAAGTGAGAGACCGCAGTGGTTTTTGATCAGGGTAGTAGCGGTGTAGGTAGAGTGAAGTGGTTGGATTTATCATGTATTTTGAACGCTAAGTGGAATTGATTTGTTTTTTAGTTTGGATGTGGCATGTCAGAGAAAGGAGGAGTAAGAATAAATCCAGTACTTGTGGTCTGATCAAATCGAAAGATGGAGTTGATGTTTTTTGAGATGGTAAATATTGTCAGAGAAACAGGTGTGAGGGAGAAGTTTCCACTTTGTCTTGCCAATGTGTTAGGTTCTGGATGCCTAGCGAGGTGGCAGTAGGAAGTTGGAATGTGGATCTGAAGGTCAGGGGAGAACTACAGGATGGAACTGGACTTTTGGAGGTGGTTAGCATTTTGATTAGTACGAAATTCCACGTGTACACAAGAGCTGTCCAAAGGAGTGAAGGCATAGAGAGAGCAAGCACAGGACCAAGCTTTGGGACATTCCGGCATTCAAGGCTGTCTTCCAACTTTCCTAGTTGATTTCTCTAAAGGAAGAATGACTAGACACATATTTTAAATTTCCTAGATGATTATCCTTTATTATTCTTTAAAATTTTGAAACTGCTTTTTCCTTAATTTATGAAGGCAATAGATATTCATTTTTCCTGAAGATAGCTATTCTTTTAATAATGTTCGTTCATACCTTAAATTGTGCTGTTTTTCTGATTTTTGTTTATTTGTTTTCTATCAGACATTCTGTTTCTAAATCTTCGCTATTTATTTTCATGGTCTTGGGCCTTCATATATCCACAGATCCTCAATTTCCCACTCATAATGATGAATGAAAATGGATTTTAAGTAATTGGTGTGAATTCCCTTTACTGTTGTGTAGGAAAATTTGTTTTCCTGCCTCCTCCCTCCTTTGAGTGGTAGTGTTGATTGAAAGTTCTGTTGACAGTGGAAAGGTTTATTGATTGATCTAATTCCCTCAGAATTAATGATAAATGTTTCAGAAGTTAAGCCAGGGGTATTCAATTACCAGAATGAGATGGATTTTACTTTGGTGAACCCAAACCAAAACGTGTTGCTTTCATATTATCCTTGCAATTTGTTATTTGCTTTAGCAAAGTGACGTTTTTAAAATTTTGTTTTGGCCACAGATTAATGCCACACTGTCTATTTAACTTATATGAAACTGGGGTGAAACATGCACAGACAGGCTTTCCATGAACTCCGTGGCATTATGTCCTATTCCATTCTTGCCATCCACGATGTGCCCTCCATGTTACCCTCTCTGACCACGGAGCCTTTCTATAGCTGGCAAATCAGCTCCTACCTCCACTGCAGTCCATTTCTCTTATGTTGGGGCTATGGTATCTTCTGTTATGCTCCCTCTGTTACCTATTTCTATAAGCTTATTGCCTTTCAGAAAATTATTACAACGGGTTTTAGTTTTATAATTATAGATGCAATGTTGGTTTATGATTAAGAAGTCAGGTAATGAATTTGGCAAGAACGTTCTTAAAATTTTCTTTCTCCAGTTATTAGCTTTGTGATTTTTTGGGGGGAAAATTGCTTAAGCCTAGTAAAAATATACTTCACTTTTCTTTAAGGTAGGGGTCATAATAATACCTAACAACACATAGGATTACTATTTACATTAACTAAGGAAATATATATCAAGTCCAGTTCCTGGAGACTAGTACATGCTTAATATTACTATTAATACTAATAACATTGTGAGTAATATTATTTTTTAATTTTAAATAAGTGTTGTAATGTTAGCATTTATATTCTAATTTATTGTAGGATTACATACAAATTATATAAAATAAATTCTAGAAACGTTTACCTACATGTTTTAGGGAAAAATATGATAAAACAAAATAGCATATGTGTATGTATCTACATATTTTATATATTTATCAAATTTCATTCTTCTGCTGAAAACTTCTAATTTTAAGAAGAGCTATGGGGGAAAAATCACTGTTTGCATTTACAGGATTTTTCTCATTGTCCTATGTTTCTTTTTATAGACTTTATTTTTTAAAGCAGTTTTAGGTTTACAGCAAAATTAAATGGAAGGTATGTAGATTTCCCATATGCCTCCTGCCGCCACTCATATATAGTCTCCCCCATTATCAAGGCCTTCCACCTCAGCAGTACGTTTCTTACAACAGATGAACCTACATTAACACATCATCATCACCCAAAGTCCATAGTTGACATTAGGGTGGTGGTGTACATTCTATGGATTTAGACAAATGTGTAGTGACATGTATCCACCACTAGAATATCATACACAGTAGTTTCACTGCCCTAAAAATCCTCTGTGCTCCACTCATTCATCCCTTCTTCCATGCAACCCCTGAAAACCACAGATTTTTTATTATCTCCATAGTTTTACCGTTTCCAGAATGTCATATTGTTCAATCATACAGTATGAAGGCTTTTCAGATTGGCTTCTTTCATTTAGTAATATACATTTAAAGTTCCTCCATGTCTTTTCATGGCTTGATAATTTATTTCTTTTTAGCACTGAATGATGTTCCATTGTCTGGATATACCACAGTTTATGTTTTTCTGCAGTAGTTTCCTATGGCAATTTGTTGGCATCTTTTATATATCTTCTACATATATTACACCAGCTCTAGCATTATATAGATTTATTTTTCCATTGCCCAAGTTTGTCTCTGCTACAATTTGTAAACGAATTATACTTCATCGAAAATAGACATAAGTAGAGTACTGTGGTACTAATAGTCAAGGCTGAAAGATCAGAGTTAATTGGATTAGTTTAGAATCCAGTTGGTCAATTATCAGGAGTCTGTGGAAGTAAGCAAGTTTTGCCCAATTTTCAGTTGATGAGTTTGGATTTATGGGGATTGGCTGATTTGTTTGCTAACAACTTAGGATTTTTCAACTACAAGTATAAAAATAAATGGTTCGAGCACGATAATTACAACAGCAACAACAAAACCTGCCAGAATCCACATAGAACACAAAAAAACTAAAAGTGAGATGAAATACTAATGTGAAGTATCCTGGAACCAGCATTTCTGGCATTACATGATTATGTTAACTTTTTTTTCAGTTTAACATTCTTCATGGTCAACATGAAAATGAAATGGAAGAAATACCAGGAGATATAAAGGAAGGATCGAAATCTCAAAACAACAAGGATAGAGTGATCTATGAGTTAAGAGCAGAGGTAAGATATTAGATAAAGAGTATAATACTAAAACATATCTGAAGATTATTAAATGATTTACTATTCTAAGAAGTATAACTGAGGCATCTTTGATTACTTTATCAAGAAGAATGCTGCTGAAAATCAAATAAAATAATGTAATTTGTTTATATGTGATTTAAAATGCTGTGGAATGATATTGGCTCATCACTACATCTGAATTATCTGAATATTATAAAGACAAAATATTTGACTAAAAAAATCACTCTGCAGCCAATACAAGTCTTACTGTGTGTAAATACTTATTAAAGGTTCAATTAGCTGCTGGATCTGATGTAAGATATTGTCAGGACCGATGCCATACAAGATGTGTTGCATGTAGTTTCCAGTGGAATTAACATGGCCCTTGGCAGCTAGCAGCAGGCAGGGTAACCTGGCTTTCATTACAGTTAATTCATTTCTTAGGTATGCCAAGTAAAATAGTGGAAAGATCTATTTTCCACTCCTACCACCACCAATGACAAATTGATTTTCACAGATTATAAACCCTGTTTTCTCTGTCTGGTTGATAAAGGAGGAATTGTCATCCTTAGAGATAGGCGGGGGGATTGAATAATTTGCACTTCATAGAAAATTGTTAGTGCATTAAAAGTGGGAGATCATATATTATTTATTTTGTAACAGGTAATTCTGGAAGATGTCTTGAATAAAAATGTCTAGGAACAATTCAGGAAATGGAAATAAGATAGTGAAAATATAGGCTGGGAGGAAAGTGATTTGTATTAGATGGTTTCTTCCTTGCAAAACTCTGTAAAGACTGAACTCAGGACATAGTATATTTTATATCAGATGAACGTAGTGCGATGGAAAATGCATAGATTTTGGAACCAGAAGCTGCTCCATCGCTACTGGTTATTTTGTTCTGGTCAACTCCTTAAGCCTTTCTGAGTTTCAGTTTATAGATGGCAATAATGGAAATAAGAATAATAATAGTTATCATACAGACTTTTTGAAAAGGTTACATACTGCAAGGGAAAAATGGTCTCAGGCAGAGTGCTTTAACGCTGGGAATTACCTAAGCCGTTCAGGAGAATTAGCTCTTCCTCTGTTGCTCCTGATTGCATCACTGCCATCCCTTGGCACCTCTTCTATGACTCATACAAGGGATGCTGGGGTGAGGGCGGGCATACTGAGAGATCCATGGTGAGAAAGACTGAGCTGTTAAAAGCAACTCTTCCTAGCAGTTAAGTCAAAGGGAAAAAATGATGGCTCCTATATCTTTTGTTTTCTAAGAGGAATCAAACCATGAGGATAGGTACCACTTGTTCTTGGCCCTGAGATCTGGAAAGCATCTTTGATTAGGCCTTGCACAACATGTACAAAAACTTATTTAGCAGTTAGAGACAAAAGCAGAGGAAGGCACTTATGCCTGTTTGTTCTAACTCTCCTTGAAAGCCGAGGACATTGTCTTATATCATCATTTTCAGGATACATCGGGAGCCGTAGCAATACAGAATCTCTGCTGTGCAACTTTTTAAAATTTGATTTAATAAAACGTTCTGAGACTCATTTATTAGTTATGTGGCCTTGAGTAACCTATTTCATACCTACAGAGCTCAATTGTGTTCCTTAAATAAGGGCACAAACATTTTACCCACCTAAAGGCAATCTCCCACAAGACTTTCAAGTACTGTGATACATGATTTCATGATTTTGAAATTCTTAACAAAACTCTGAAAGCTGAAAGCAAATGTAGACATGAATTGGCTGTGTCTTTGACTATGTGCACTTGAATGGTATATTCAGTTGAATGACATCAGAGAAAGAAGGCTCTGTTCAGGAGAAAACAAATATTCGGACAAATTATTATAGATACAATGAGCTTGTGTGTGTGTGTGTGTGTGTTGTATATGTGAGTATATATGTGTGCATTTAAATTTTAAATTAGGATAGAAGCTACCTCCTTTCCTTGGAAAAGACAGAAACCACTCTTTGTTGGCACTATTTTATTTTTTACACTGGCTATGTTTAGATCTTAAAATCATATGATAACTTTTTTTTTAATAATTTATTTCCCCCTTCATGCATTTCTTCCACCCCTGTCTCTGGCAACCACTAATCTGTTCTCTGTATCTATGAACGTGGTTTTATGGGGTTTTTTTTAGATTCCACGTACGAAAGAGGTCATACAATATGTAATGTTTATCTTCCTCTGTCTGACTTATTTCACTTAGCGTAATGCCCTCAAGGTCCATCCATGTTGTCACAAATGGCAAGAATTCATTCTTTTTATGGCTGAATAATATTCCATTGCATATATGTGGTGTATATATACCACAATTTCTTTATCCATTCATCTATCGATGGACACAGGTTGTTTCCATATCTTGGCTGTTGTAAATAGTGCTGCAATGATCACGGGGTGCACATATCTTTTTGAGTTAGTGTTTTTGTTTTCTTCAGATAAATACCCAGATGTGGAATTGCTACATAATATGGTAGTTCTATTATTAATTTTTTGAGAAACCTCCATAATGCTTTCCACAGTGTCTGCACTGATTTACATTCCTAACAACAGTGCACAAGGGTTCTCTTTTCTCCGCATCCTCATCAACACTTGTTATTTCTTGTCTTTTTAATAATAGCCATTCTACAGGTGTGAGGTGATATCTCATTGTGGTTTTGATTTGCATTTCCCTGATTAGTGAGTTGAACATTTTTCATGTACCTCTTGGCCATCTGTATGTCATCTTCAGAAAATTGTCTATTCATAACTTCTACCCAATTTTTAATTAGATTGTTATTTTTTTTTGCTATTGAGTTGTATGTGTTCTTCATATAGTTTGTATATTAATCTCTTGTCAGATGTATTATTTGCAAATATTTTCTCCCATTTAGTAGTTTGCCTTTTTTTTTGTTGATGGTTTCCTTTGCTGTGCAGAAGCGTTTTAGTTTCATGTATTCCCACTTGTTTACTTTTTACTTTTTATTGGTGAGGAAGATTGGCTCCGAGCCAACATCTGTAGCTAATCCTCCTCTTTTTGCCGAGGAAGATTGGCCCTAGGCCAACATCTGTGCCCACCTTCCTCCACTTGACACCTGGGATACCTGCCACAGCGTGGCTTGACAAGTGGTGCGCATGTCCATGCCCGGGATCCGAACCCACGAAACCCCAGGCTGCCAAAGTGGAATGAGTGCACTTAACCACTACACCATCAGGCCGGCCCCTATTTTTGCTTTTGTTGCTTTTGCTTTTGGTGTCAGATTAAAAAAATTTTGCAAAGACCTAGATCAAGGAGCTTACCATCCATGTTTTGTTTCTGAAACCATAAAAGCTTTATGGGTTCGTGTCTTACGTTCAAGTCTTTAACCCATTTTGAATTAATTTTTGTGTATGGTATAAGACAGTGGTTTGGTTTCATTCCTTTGAATGAAAATTGTGGCTGCCCAGTTTTCCCAGCACCATTTATTTAAGAGACTGTCCTTTCCTATTGTAAAATCTTGGATCCTTTGTTTTAAATTAATTGACCATATATGCATGGGTTTATTTCTAGGATCTCTATTCTGTTTGATTGATGAATGTATGTGTCAGATTTTATGCTAGTACCGTACTGTTTTGATTACTATAGCTTTGTAATGGAGTTTGAAATCAGGGAGCATGATGCCTCCAGCTTTGCTCTTATTTTTCTCCAAATGGCTTTGGCTATTTGGGGTCTTTTGTGGTTCCATACAAATTTTAGGATTGTTTATTCTATTTCTGTGAAAAATGCCATTGGAATTTTGATAGCAATTGCATTGAATCTGTAGATTGCTTTGGATAATATGAACATTTTAACAATATTAATTCTTCCAATCCATGAGCACAGAATATCTTTCCATTTATTTGTGTCTTCTTCAATTTCTTTCCTTAATGTCTTGTAGTTTTCCATATATAGATCTTTCATCTCCTTGGTTATTTATTTATTCCTAGGTATTTTATTCTTTTTGATGCAATTGTAAATGAGATTGTTTTCTTTATTTCTCTTTATGATAGTTCATTATTAGTATATAGAACCACAGCAGATTTTTGTTTATGGATTTTGTATCCTGCAACATTACTGAATTCATCTATCAGTTCTAACAGTTTTTTGGTGGGGTCTTTAGGGTTTTCTATATATAATATCATGTCATCTGCACATAGTGACAGTTTTACTTCTTCCTTTCCATTTGGATGCCTTTTATTTATTTTTCCTGCCTAATTGCTCTGGCTAGGACTTCCAATACTATTGAATAAAAGTGGTGATAGTGGGCATCCTTGTCTTGTTCCTGATCTTAGAGGAAAAGCTTTTAGCTTTTCATCATTGAGTATGATGTTAGCTGTGGGCTTGTTATGTATGGCCTTTATTATATTGAGGTATATTTCTTCTATACCCACTTTGTTGAGAGTTTTCATCATAAATGGATGTTGAATTTTGTCAAATGCTTTTTCTGCATCTATTGAGATAATCATATGATTTTTGTCTTTCATTTTGCTGATGAGTGTATCACATTGACTGATTTGTGGATGTTGAACCATGAAAGTCATTGTGTGATTGTACCATAATTTAATGAAAAATATAACCTATTTTAAAAAATCTGTTTATTTTTAGATATATAATCAACATTGCAGTAAGTATGCATGTGCACATACATCTTTGGACATTTAAAAATGGCTTGGGTAGTGGCCAGCTGAGTGGCATGGTGGTTAAGTTCACGTGCTTCACTTTGGTGGCCTGGGGATCACAGGTTCAGATCCTGGGCACGGACCTACACACCACTTATCAAGCCATGCTCTGGCAGGCGTCCCATATATAAAGTAGAGGAAGATGGGCACAGATGTTACCTCAGGTCCAACCTTCCTCAGCACAAAGTGGAGGTTTGCCAACAGATGTTGGCTCAGGGCTAACCTTCTTCACCAAAAAAAAAAAAAAGCTTGGGTAAATTCCTAGAAACAGTATAGCTTGGTCAAGAGAATTTTTATTTTTAAAATCTTTTATACACAT